TCTCCTTTTATCTAAAACTCAAACAACTGATATACCAGATGGAACTGAGAAAGTAAAACATTATTTCTAAAATTGGAATCAGAATACAGAACAAAACCTAATATTAAAATATCTGTTACACTGTTTCTGAACTGATTGAAAGTCTACTTGGTTTAATTACTTAGTTCAAATAACCCATATGGGCATAAACATATTTTCTTTGGTTCAGTAGCTAATTTTCTGGAAGTACAGGAATAAGAGTTTTTAATCAAAAGTCACGTGAATTCAACTAGTTAACTCTGGTGAATTAAGCAGATTTCACCTAAATAATACTTGAGGATAAATTAGTATGAGGTTGTTTGCAAACATTTGAACAATTCATGATTTTACCTACTTTGACTACTGCATGACATCATACAGTTTTATGAATTCTCAGGCTACCTAAGAATCCCCTTTTGCTTTGTGGCAACACAGCATGAAAATTTTATTTTTTTCTAATTAGAAAATGTTATTTAGAGCAATATTTTAATCAAGTCAGTAGGCTGATTTATTGTTTTCAAGATGATGTTGAATATAATGGCCAGTCAGTAGCAAAATATCCACATATTCCTACTTTCAGATATGTATACAAATATACAGATAGATATAGATGTAGATAAATATATCTATATTTGATCATTTGTTTTCAGAGAAATTTCACATTTATTATTTCATTTAGTCTTCATATTCTTAAATTTTTCACCTTTCTATTATTTTCAAATAGTCAAATGAAGAGGTTTCGATTTAACATATCCATTTATGTGTACAATGTATCTTTTTTGCAAATAACATCTTCTCATCCTTTTCTTTTGCCATGGGGCTTGAACTTAGAGCCTGGGCACTGAGTTTTTTTTCCACTCAAAGCTAGCTCTCTACCACTTTGAGCCACAACACCACTTTTGCTTTTCTAGTGGTTAATGGAAAATAAATCACATGGACTTTCTTGCCCAGGCTGGCTTAGAATTTTGATCCTCAGATCTCTGCCTCATGAGTAGCTAGGATTACAGGAATGAGACACTGGGTGCCTGGCTCATCTCATCCTTTTAAATGACTGAATAGCATTCCCTTGTATATAGGTATCATAGCACATATTCTTTAATCATTCATCAATTGACACTTAGATTATTTCCATATATTGGCTGTTGTGATTTTATTTCAGACTGGAATAGCTAGCTCATATGGAAGTTGTACTTTTACTGTTTGAGGATGTTCAAAACTATTTTCAGTAGTGGATATACAAATTTACATTCGTACCAACAGTGTGTATAGGGTCCCTTTTCTTCCTATCCTCACAAGCACTTGTTATCTTTAGCCTTTGAACTCAATGTGGTTTTATTTTGTTTTTCAATTTCAATTTCAATTATTTTTCTTGACTTCAAAAGCTTGTACAAGAGGGTTATAATTTAATGTGTCCATCTAAATGTCCAGTGCTTCTTGAGAAGAGTCATCCCTGCCATGATTCTCCCCCATTCCATCTGTTCTCTTCCACTAGACTCATTTCACATTTCCCACTTCCTTTATCATATATGTATATTGTGTTCTTTTGTTTGTTCCTTGATCCCTTTTTCACTCATCCACTCTCACCCACTGTCCCTCCTTACAATATCATTTCAGCTTTTTGTATGCATTTTTTAAACTGCATCTTGGTCAGTGCCATCTCTTCCATCATTCTTTCCCCATATATATCCCATCCCTACCATATTGGTTTTACTATTAATAAAGTATATTTATTTGTTTTGCATTTACAGTTCTTCCATCATCAAACCTCAAAACTTGCTTGAATATTTAAACAAGTAAGTCAAGTCCAGAGAGGACCAGAGTGATAGAAGATCCATTTATTCTCCCTTATTTGTAGAAGCTAGTTTTAGCTTATATACTCAGAAATAAATATGTTGATTGGTATTCAAATATTCACAGATATATTAACTGAAATACAGTAGATTCAAAGGAAATGTCAAATAGTTTAGTTGCTTAGAAAGCCAAAACCAAAGTTCAGCAAAATAAAACAGGAAGCAGTTGTCAAAGGGAAAAAGGTAGAGAAATGAAGAGGAGAGTAGTGGAAAAATGCAGCTGGGCTTTGGTGGCTCACGCTTGTAATCCTAGCTACCCAGGAGGCTCAGATCTAAGGATTGAGGTTTAAAGCCAGTCCAGGCAAGAAAGTCTGTGAGATGCTTATCTCTAATTCACCACCAGAAGAGCAGAAGTGGCACTGTTGCTCACGTGGTAGAGAACTTGACTTGACCTGAATTGCTCAGGCCCACAATTCAAGTCCCACGACCGACCAAACTATAAAATAAAAAATAAAGAGTGGGCAAAAGCAGACAAGAATCCAGTGTATATCCTATAAAATTGAGAAGAGTGAGAGAATTAATGGGTAGGAGGAATGTGTGAGAATGTTGAAATGGGTGATATTAATCGAGATACATTGTACTCATAAACTGCTTTGATAAATGTCAACCCCTTTGTAGAACTACTTCAAGATAAAAAGATTAAAAAGAAAAAAACTTTTTGTACATTGCCTTCTATTCCTTCATCTTTTTATTTGTAATATGCACTTAACAGCTTTGCCCCTATGTTACCATTAAATATTTGTTTTTAACTTCCTACTATAGGCAAGATCCTCTGCTAGATAAGAATAAAAAATATAAGTGAAATTATTTTTTGCCTTCAGGTTTTTTGCATTTTAATTAATGCCCAAGGGAAACTAAGTAAATTTATTTTTCCTAAAAATTCAAATTCACCCCCATATTATAAGCATTAGCTAGTAGGTTTCATCTTTGTCTTCATTTCTTTCCAGAAATTACCTGAAAGCAAAGATTGATTTCAAGATTCTAGTACTCTCTCAATGTTAGTCATATACTAGGTATTTAATATCCATCAAACCCTTTTAAAAGTTTGTAAATTCTCATTGATCCACAAAAATTGAAATCATCTCTTCAGCATGCAATGTGGACCTACTGATATCCACTTCACATATGTTGGAACTCAGATGTCTTTATAAAAGGAAAATATACATTAGGTTATATTGTTCATTAGATTGCAGTCCTTGATCCACCCCAGTACTGTCTCAGTCCCTTTCCTCTGTCAGCTTGGGTTTCTTCTCCCTTTGGGTCTCAGGCATCCTAGGTCCCCATGTGTTGATAACTTGAAGGTAATGAAGAAAAATATTTCATTATTAATATTTATGTCTGTTAGCATTGTATGTTTGGTTATACTAAATTGAATATAATGCACTAGTGAAATTATCTTTGCTTTTGAAAATATGCTTATGAGAAAATTTAACATGATATATAAGTCTTACATTTACGACTCACTATATTTTTGTCAACAAGGATGGTCAAGACCATGCCTGCCTCCCCTCTCTCATTATACACACGCACACCAGTTTTCCATCCTCAAAAACCTCTGTTGTCTTCCCAAAGTGCACTTTATACTTTTTCAACTCCTTGGCATAATCTTCCCTCAGCATTACCAAATAGGAAACGCCTCTGCACTCCTCTCAAACAAGCTCCCCTCCCAATCTGCTTTAGGCATGTTTTTAATACATCATCCTTTTCAGAATTTTATTTACTTACTACTTATCCGCATTGTATTGTATTTCTTGGTTAATTTCTGTCTCTTTAAAGATTGAAATTGATTCCGAGTGCCCTGTATCCAATGCATTTTCTGACTTATAAACAGCCCTTAGCAAATACTGAATGAATACAGGAAGAAACTGGTTACATATGTGTATGCATATATATGGAAACCTTAAATTTGCCTTTCCTGAATTCGTGTATGGAGAATTCAAATACATAAATCTTAAAAAAGCTAGTTGACCAAAATTACAACACTCCATTCACCAAAACAAGCAAGCAAAACAAACACCAACTCAAAATAGAAGCCACTCAGAAATAAAGTGGATGAGTATTTATTTGTAAAGACATATTAACTTCTTTAAGAAAAAGCTCAAGTTCTTACAATCTTGAAGCTACTATGTCAAAATTTGGCAATAAGGAATGGGCACTACAAAAATCAGCTGAAAAGAGTAGAGGAAGAAACAGTGGCAACTTCTTCCAAAATAGTCATTCAGTAATTTCACAGGTATAGCTCAACTTTTCACTAGATGTTAAAATATTTCTTTGATGGCACCTCATCCTCCTCAGGCTTTAAAATGGTTAATAATTTCCCAGGTAACTGTGAACAAAGATAATATCATGGTTTATTTGCACATTTCTATTAGTAAGTGCAAGTCTTAAATCATTAATCCCATAGTAGTATCTGACCAAATAATCTCCACTGTGGTTAGGAAAATGGGTTGATAACTGCAGACATCCTGAAAATTACAAAAATCTTTAATGAAATTAAGTACTTCAGTGAAGATTAGCCAAACAGGAAAAAGCCTGAAAGAAATGCCTCCACTACCACAAAATACCGCCTGAACATTTTGATTTGCCAAGAATGCAATGTAGTTTGCAGTTACATTATATGTAGTATGAATTTTTTAAATTTTTGCTTATCTTGAATTATTTTACATTTCACAAAGCAGTTTATGTATATATTTTGATCAATGTCACCTCTTTCAACCTTCTTACCCACCTCTCCCCTCCCCACTTTTTCCCTTATTCTTGTTAATGTTATAGAACATACACTGGATTCTTATATGAATTTCCCCCCTCTTCTCATCTACATCATTTCTCTTGACCTCACCCCACAACTTTTGAGTACCAGCTTTGTAGGTTTTTATTTTGCTGAATTTTGATTTTGTCTTTCTAAGTAAACTGATATATCCCTTAAAATGACTGTTTTCTGTTAATATATTTGTATACACTTGCATACTACCCAATATATTTACTTATAGATATATAAGCTAAACCTAGTCTTCCATAAATGAGAGAAAACGTTAAATATTTTGAATTGCACAGACATTATGACTTGCTCTGAAAAGGTTTTTTTTCTTACCTCCAAAATATATGATTTTCCCTGAAAGCATTTTGATTTTCTCAGAGAGCATATTGTTTTGCTTGAAAAATGTATTGGTTTGTCCATGAAGCATATAGATTTTCCATGGAAGCATATTGGCTTACATTAGAAGTATATAAGTTTGCCTCAGAGGTACTTTGGTTTACATTACACATATATTGGTTAGTATCAGAAGCATGCTGTTTTTCATCAGAATCATATTTGTTTTGTGAGAAAATGCTTAGGTTCCCCCAGAAATTATATGGTTTTGCTTCAAAGACATCTTCGTTTGACCAAGGAACATACCAGAGTGCTCTCAAATAATTGTAGCTCTCCATAAAAACTTTCTGGTTTGTCCACCAAAAATATGAGCTTTCCCCAGCAGGATTGACATTTGGTTTTTGAATGTTTACATTTGCTCCTTGAGGATCTGGCTTAGATCGGCTTTTGTGGCTGCTATGGTGACTGCCTCCTAAGGAAATATTTCGTGCCTCCGTGATGTGGAACTTGGAATACTCTTTTGAACTTACCATTTTAACTTCACAACGGCTGGCCCCAATGAGATGATACCTCCTTTCTAACAATTTGATTACTGGGGTCTTCTCCGTGTACGTGATGAAACAGAAAGCTCATTTTTTATTTGTATGAGGACATAGTGGTCTCTCAATAGTCTCAATGTTTCCAAATGTTCCAAAGTATCCTCTGATTCTTTGTTCAGACATATGTGGGTTCAACCCACCCACAAAAACCTTTTTGAGGAGGAATGGAGATTCTATGGGTTTTGCTCTTTTAAGTTCAATATTCTTGCCATCCACAAGGTGCTGTTTTACTTGGAGCACCTTTTCAACGCTGTCATTATCTTTGAAAAGTACAAATCCAAACCCCCTCGATAGTCCAGTTCTACGGTCAGTTTTTATCACAAAGTCGATGATCTCGCCAAACTGAGCTAAATATTCAAGAAGGCCTCTCTTACTGATACTATGAGACACTCCTCCGATGAACATTTTACTGTCGTCTCTCTGAGAATTGCTGGCCTCAATACAGTGCCCTTCAAGGAATTTTTCTTCATCATCATCACTGAAATTCAGGACAAAATTGGTCTTATCCATGGGAGTTGAGTAGGAGGCAACTTCACCACTGGCAAAATACATACATAGCAGGGGCTCAACTGACAAAAGTAGTAAAGAGGATAGGTACAGAAATGGACGTCATAATACGTAGTCCAAGGGTAAAAGAACGTCACAAAAGTAATCTTAGATATGGAGCTTGGTTGCTATGGCTCTAGCGCAGCAACCGGAGTTTGTCTAAAAAAGACAGCAACTTCTACTCTTTTTGCTTTGCTTTCAGATTATTTTTCCACAAAATATTGTTGAAACCATTTGTTGTTTCTAGACGGAGCCTTGAATGTCTAAGCAGTCCCTAATTTTTACATCCTTCAGGTAATTTGTAGGGGGCAAGAATGGGGAAAAATGGAAGAATTATAACATGCTATATGGAGAGCAAATTCCTATGGTTTGTATGATATGCTAATGAGATCTAATAGACCTTTTTTCTTTTTCTTTTGTCCCCTTTTGTTTAGGACCAGTCCTGGGGCCTATACTCAGGTGCTATCCCTAAGCTTTTCTGCTCAAGGCTAGTACTCTACTAGTTGAGCCTCAGCTCTATTTCTGGATTTTTGGTGTTTAATTGGAAGTGACAGTCTTACAGATTTTTACTGCTCTGGCTGGCTTTAAGCATGATCCTCAGGTCTCAGCCTCCCATATAGGTAGTATTACAAGCATGAGCCACCTGCACTCAGCTAATAAAACATATTAAAATCACAGCTTTGTGGAGATTTATTTACATATCATACAACTCATCTTCCTAATACCGTAGGATTGTTTAGTCATTACCAAATTCAAATTTAGAACACATGTTCTCTCTCCCCCAAAATAAACTTTTAAGAAGTTGGTCCTCATTTCTCCTCAACCATCCAAGTTGTACTATATACGGCCTTTTCTCCATAATTTATTAATGTATATGTTTCCATATTTATTTTGTGGTATATGTGTCTTATTCTTTTCGTGACTAAATGATATTTAAATGCATAGCTTTATCTCATTTTGTTTGAACACTTCTTTGATATTTGCTAGCTTTGATTGTGCTATATGATTAGACAATATTTCTGCATCAGGAAAATGTCTAAAAAGATTTTTATAGTCATTTGCAGTTCTCATTTTTGGTATGATGAGTGAGTAAACATCACAATTGACCATACTACTGAACTGGCTATAATATTAACCTCTCCCATGTCAGAAGGCTAAAGTTTAAATTGAATGCTAAATTTCCCTATTCCTAGCCTGGTCATTAGCCATCAGATACAATGTAGGAATTTGCATGTATCTCTCCCTCCCTCAAATATTAGTTCTTGGAAGAGATGGGTGTTATTTTAAGTTTTTAATTTTTTAGATTTTTAAATTTTTATTGTAAAGGTGATGCACATATGTGTTACCATAAGTAAAATTCCTTTTCAACAGTGTCAACACTTTCTCTCATTCTCTCCCAATTTATCCCTTCCGGACTTCCCTTCCCCCAAGTTGTATAGTTCATTACCAGCATAGTGTCTAGTGGGTTTCATTGCTGAATAGTGTATCCTATGGCTATATGCTTCATTCCACTCAAAGAATTTCTCCAAGTACTCATTTTTAAGGTAACAGTCTTATAGTTGGCAATATCCAGTTATTTCTCTCTACAAATTGAGAGATTATATTTTGATCATAATTTGGAAACAAAAAGAAGCTCAACCTAAAACGCCAATCATAGTTTGATGTTTTCAGTGGACACCTCAGCCACTATGCTGGTTCTGCTGCTGCCTCTGATCTCTCAGGTGTTTCCTTCATCAGCTTCAGGACAAGTTCAAAGTTATTATGAAGATGGTAAAATTTTGCGAGATACAAATAGGGAAAAAATGGCCTATCAATACGTAGGTAAGAGTCTATGGATCAGTTTGTTCAAGAAGAATACTATTTTGTTGAAACATCTTTAGGAAATCTTGCGTTTCCTAAAATAATTGTCTTGTTAAAAATTAGAAATTAGGGTCTTAATGTTTAGTGCTTATTATGTCCAGTCCACATGGAGTAAAGTAGCACTGGAAGCTTAATTTTATCATCTTTTCTGACTATCAGACTACAGGTAACTCTCTGCAGTCCAGTCATCAATGTGTTAATCAGCTCAAAAATCACATTTCTGAGCCACCACAGACTTTTTTAATACATAAAACCCCAGCCCATAAAAGGATCTGGCATAGGCATCTTGTCTTCCTTATACTTGCTCACAGTGTTTGTTTGTTTATGCTACTATGAGGCTTTTGAACTCTGGTCCTCTCAGTTGCTTGGTTTGTTGTTCAGATGAAACTCTACCACTTGAACCATTCCTTTAGCCTGGCTTTTTAAGGGTTACTTTTGGAGCTGGAATCTCATAGCTCTTTCCTCTCAGGCTGGCCATAAACCACAATTTTATAGATCTCAGTCTCCTAAGTAGCTAGGATTACAGTTGTGAACCACTCATAACCGGCTTTATTTTAAAATTGCAAGTGAAGAAATTTGGACATTTAATTCTCTCAATGATTCTTTTCCCTATGACTTTAATAAATTAATCATATTTTGTGGTATGTGACTCAAAGGTATAATAATATTTTTGTGCAAATGAAAACATTGACAATAAAATTAAAATTCAGGGAAAATGAATTAATTCACAAAGGTAAAACTACAGCCATTAGCAAGCCTCCCTAGCTCTCACATGAATCCTGAATTATTTGAAGCCTTGCTTGCTCCTAAAATTTAGATGCTTGTCCATGTTTTTGTGCCTTGCTTTGTTCTCAGTGTTCTTCCCAAATGATTTAATTTTCTGCTCCTTCAACTTCCATTCCCATTCCATCTGTTAACTTTTATAGTTTCCTCAAATTGTCTCTTCTTTGTGAACACATCCTTTGTATACATCTTTACCAAAGTTCTTGTTTATGAGCTCCCTTTGTTGCACACTTATGGCTTATACCAGTTCTCCTAAAAATGCAAGAGGTAGAGTTCTGAGGAGTATAGTCAAAAGCCAGCCTTGGAAAAACATTTTTATGAGACTCTTATTTCCAAATAACCAGCAAAAATCTGGAAGTGGAGGAGCACCAACCTTCAGTGAAAAAGCCAAGTGAGAGCTTGAGGTACTGAGTTCAAGCCACAGTACTGCACAATAGGCGTTGATTTCCCCACTGATCTGTGAGCTCTAAATAGTCAAACACTGAGATATTTTACGATGAAAGGTAATAGTTTACTTGATTTCCCAGCATCATTTATTGAAAAGACTTTTCTTTTTCCAAAGTTAGTTTATTTCTTTACTTTTGTTGAAAAGTAGTTTTCTGTATATTAGATGAACGATCTCTACATTTTCTATTCTGTTCCATTAAACTGGGTGTTGTGTCAGCCTTTATAACAATATCATGCTGTTTATTTTTTTATTGGGAAAATACTGTTACAATTACATGGGCAAGATAATGAGTAGCTTTCTTATCAAGCATTGTACCCTCCTCCTTTGTTTCCCGTTCCCATCCATTCCCATCCTCCCCCCACCCCCCACACAATCTATCCCCCACACCCCCACACCCAACTTGTAAAGTTCGTTTTCAAAATAACGACTTGTAAATCTCATTGTTGCAATCGTTCCACCTGTATCCCTAGTTAAACGATTTGTTTTTCCCCTTCCCCTCCACAAATTATAGCGACATCAAATACAGTGAAAGCACGGGTTATACCACGGGGGAGGGACAAAAAAAGCAACAAAGAAATAATTTTATAAATGTACTAGAAACAATCGTATGAAAGAAAAAACATTTGAATACATATCTTAGGGTTCATTTCCCTAACATCAACTTATCTGAACTTTTCTGCTTGAGTCAGACATATACTAGATATTGCAAATAAAGGAAACCATGGTACCTATGTTTCCTTGAGCCTGGCTTATTTCACTTAATATAATTTTTTTCCAAGCCTTTCCATTTCCTAACAAATGGGGCAATGTCATTCTTTCTGATGGAGGCATAGAATTCCATTGTGTATATATACCACATTTTCTTGATCCATTCATCTACTGAGGGGCATCTGGGTTGTTTCCATATCTTAGCTATAGTAAATAACACTGCAATAAACATAGTCGTGCTGGTAGCTTTAGTGTGAACATTTGAGTAAATGCCCAAAAGTGGGATTGGAGGGTGATAGGGGAGTTTTATGTGGAGTCTTTTGAGGAACCTCCATACTGCTTTCCAAAGTGGTTGAACAAGTTTATACTCCCACCAACAATGCAGTAAAGTTTCCTTCTGTCCACATCACCTCCAGCATCTGTTGTTATTAGAGTTCTTGATTTTAGCCATTCTAACTGGAGTGAGGTGGTATCTCAATGTTGTTTTCATTTGAATTTCTTTTATGGCTAGAGCATTTATTCATGTGTCTATTGGCCATCCTTCTTTCCTCTTCAGAGAAGTTTATCTTTAAGTCTTTAGCCCACTTGTTTATTGGGCAGTTGTTTCTTTGAAGATTTGTTGTTGAGGGATTTAATTTCTTGAGTTCCAGGTATATTTTAGATATGAGACCCTTGTCGGTTATATGGCTAGTGAAGATGTTCTCCCAATTGGTGGGCTTTCTATTGATCTTGCTAGCTATGTCCTTTGCCATGCAGAAGCTCTGCAATTTCATGCAATCTCATTTGTCCAAACTTTCTTCATTTGTTGTGTTTGTGGGAATCTATTACGAAAATTTTGGCCTGTGCCATGGAGACCTAGGGTTTCTCCTATTCCATCCTGTAATGTTTTCAGAGTGTCTGCTTTGGCTCTGAGGTCTTTGATCCATTTGGAGTTGATTCTGGTGCAGGGTGATATATAAAGATCTAGCTTTAGTTTTCTACAAGTAGTTAGCCAATCTTGCCAGCACCATTTACTGAAGAGGCTGTCTTTCTTCCATTCTATTGTTTTAGCTCCCTTATCAAAGATTAGATGGCTATAGGTCTGTAGGTTCCTTTCTGGGTTTTCGATTCCATTCCATTGATCCTGAGGTCTGTTCTGGTACCAGTACCAAGCTCTTTTGATTAC